TAAACGGCTCAGGTTTAATTAAGTTCTGCTGACTCGTTCTCTTTGAAGACCCACTGAAGTGTGATTCACAGCTCACACAATTAATAACAGGGAGAGGAGCAACTTAAAAGGAGGAGGCAGTCCCGTCCACCTTCTTCCACCCTCTCCCCAGCCACCCCCTGCCCTGCCCCGGTGCCCTTGGCCAGCCGCAGTGGGTGGGCCACACAGGAGCACCAGACTCCGAGGCTTCTTTGCCAAGATGCTGAGCCCAATGATTTTCTCGCTCCCAATCCGGTGCTCCTGGGAAAAGGACCCCACGTCCCCATCATCCTCGCTGAGGGGTGCTCAGGACATCCCAGCCCTTCCTGGTGATCAAGAAGCTTATACAGTACATAGGCTGCATCCACAGGGAGCTCCTATTTCCAGCTTCCTGTTTAATGAAGTTCCTCTTTTTTTTTTTTTAAGTTTATTTATTTATTTTGAGAGAGACAGAGGAGCCACAAGTGGGGTAGGGACAGTGAGAGAGGGAGGCAGAGAATCCCAAACAGGCTCTGCACTGTCAGTGCTGAGCCAGATGTGGGGATCGAACTCATAAACCATGAGATCATGACCTAAGTCAAAACCAAGAGTCAGATGCTTAACCGACTAAGCCACCCAGGCGCCCCTAATGAAGCTCCTTCTGATTCCATAATTCCACAGGCCAAGCTCTGTGTTCCGTCTTTTCCTCTGCTCCCCATCCACATTTCTGGCTTCTCTCACCTGCTTCGTCTCCCTTGTCACCCACTGTGGTCTATAACCTGTACCTGCCTTGCTGGGCCCTCCCACTCCTTTCCTGGAGCAGCCCCCTCCTCCATATGGTGGGAAAACTGAAGCATGGGCCTTCATCATTCCTTAGCCGACTCTCAGACACTTCTTTTCCTACCCCACCCTGCCCCATCTACCATAGGCTAGAGAAGGTTCTAGAAGGGGAAAGGGAGGCTGGGGAGAAGTTTCAGAGAGCAGCCTGGGTCATGTCTGAAGTCTGAGAAGGAGACATTGAGGCGGAGCGAGTCTTCACCCAGAGCTCCTGGACACATGCCCTCCTCCGGACATACGTCTCTTCCCCAGCCACCAACAGAGAGGTGGACGTGGGCCAATCCACCTTTTTTCTTATTTCCTAAGTTCCCCATTTCCCCAACACCTTCAATGTCAGCTCTATAGCTGATGGGTCCTCTCTTTCCCAGAGATAATGCGGAAACTACAGGAAACTGCAACACAGGGGGAAACTTAAAGTTAGACCCAGAGTATGACTTCCTCACGAATCCAGTGGGAAAACCTCTAGAGTAGCAGTATCCAATAGAACTTTCCCTGGGGAGGGGAACGTTCTACATCTATGCTGGCCAATATGGTAGCCGCGTAGCCACATGGGGGTGTTGTGCTATGGCTAGTATGAATAAGGAACTGACTTTTTATTTTATTTTATTTTATTAAAATAGCCACATGGTGATAGTAGCCACCACATTGAACAGGGCACATCTAAGGAGCTAAACTTCTAACAAAGTGTCGCCTCTGATCCAAATCTGGTTTCCCAGATGCCAGGTCCAAGTTTGTCTTTCTCTCCCCAACCTGCTCTTCTGGTCGGGTCTCATGAGACAGATGTCTGGGAGCCCCACTCACCGGGAGTGATCTGAGCACCCCTCTACTCCCAATTCCTAGCCTGCGGCAGTTTTACCTCTTATGTGGGGGGAAAAGACAGTGAGCTGAGTGGGGGAAAGGAGACCTCTGCAGCCCTCCCCTCCTTTTTTATCATCCCATCTGACCTGTGACTTTTCCCTCAGTCCTCAAAAGTGGAGGGGATTTAGAGAGGCGATTTGTACCCTTCCTACAATTCCTAACATTATATCACGAGGGCTTTGTCCCAAGCAGAACCAGAATCGCAGCCCCTTCCTCGGAAGTACATGGTCAGGAAAACAAACCCCCCACCACCTGGTTCGGCCCTTCTGCCACCGTCTGTGACCCTTGACCCGGTCCGGTGGTCCAGGGAAGGCTTCAAGTGGGCGACCTTCCTTACTCTTCTTGCTGCCCTGGCCCTTCCCCAGAACAGCTGTCCCAAAGCCCTTTGTCATCCCTCCAGCCCTAAGCCTTCACCTCCCTCGTTCTCTGCTGGCGACCTGACTTCCCACCATCCAGCCCTGGGACCACTCGCTCCAGCCCCCGATCGCCCTCGCCTGTGCAGTGAGCGTCTCGACCAGTCTGTTCCGCATGTGCCACTTCCGGCACCCCTCCAGAGCCCTCTCTCGCTCCGCCTCAATGTCTCCTTCTCAGACTTCAGACATGACCCAGGCTGCTCTCTGAAACTTCTCCCCAGCCTCCCTCTCCCCCTCTAGAACCTTTTTGAGCCATAAATTCTTCCACTCACTGCCTCTGCTTCCTCCCAACCACTCACACCTCCACCTACTTTAATTCAACATATAATTGTCAGAGTTTCTAATGAGCATCAGACACCACACTGGGTGTGTGTTGGCTCTTCCTTCCTTGGCTTCTGCCATAGTAATTCTACCCAGGTGGTCTTCCTGTGGTCCTCCACATCTTCCCAAACACCAGATTCAACCACATGCCACAAACCCATCTTGGAACAAGGCAGGCTAAGATACACGCATGCATGCAAGCCAAGGTCAGGGTCCCGCACCACACCTGGCACATAATAGGTGTTCAATAAACACTCTGATATTTTTCTGGCTTTCCCTCCTTTTCATTCTCTCTTGTTTTTATTTATTTATTTTCTTTGTATTTTATGACCACAACTTTCTTTCCAAACCTCTCTTCCACCAAGTTTTCTTGGGCACTGCTTGTGTCTGAGCTTCCTCTGGCTCAGGTCAGGTGCCCCCCAAAACAGGCTGACACAGAGATTTGCTGGAGAACGTATACTGGGGGCTTTTCGTGATGCTATCATGTTCTTATTTGGGTGGGGGCTGTTTTGTTTGGTTTTGTTTTTAATTTTTTAAATCTTTATTTGCTTTTGAGAGAGAGAGAGAGACAAAGCACAAGCAGGGGAGGGGCAGAGAGACAGGGAGACACAGAATCCAAAGCAGGCTCCAGGCTCTGAGCCATCAGCACAGAGGCTGATGTGGGGCTCAGACTCACAAACCATGAGATCATGACCTGAGCCAAAGTCAGACGCTTAACCGACAGAGCCACCCAGGTGCCCTGCTGAGCCTCTTTCTTGAGATGATTTTTCATCGGGTATCTAGTCCGTTTTCCTTCTTTTCCTTCTACCTTGGGGACCTGTCCATCACAGCCTCCCTCTCTGCTTTCTCTCTGGTCCCTGATGGGCTGCTGAGCCTCTCTCCACAGTGGAGGGACCCAGCTTACTCCCAGAGCCCCATTCATCTCCACATGCACTTCCTGCCTGAGTGATAACAGCCATTACCACAACTGCAAAAGCCACATATATGCTGACCCTTCCCAAATTTGAACCACAGTCCTGAGACCCACCGTGAGCTCCAAACATACATTCATCCACCTATTTGACAGTTTTTAAAAATTGTTTTCTAATATTTATTTATGTTTGAGAGAGAGAGAGAGAGAGAGCAGGGGAGGGGTGGAAAGTGAGGGAGACACAGAATCCAAAGCAGGCTGCAGGCTCTGAGCTGTCAGCACAGAGCCCGATATGGGGCTCGAACTCAAGAACCTGAGCCGAAGTTGGACGCTTAACCGACTGAGCCACCCAGGCACCCCTGGAGAGATCTTTTAAATAGCCAATAGGCATCTCAAACGTAACAGGTCCCAGTAGACTCAGTAGCCTGATTCCCCATCGTACACACACATGCTCAGGTCTGTGACCAGTGTCGCTGCCCAGGTTACTGCACACAGACAGAGGCCTGGCACACGGGACCTAATGCTAATGGTCATCTTGAAATTCGTAATAATTTTATGTGTGAATCTGTGTTTTGTGAGTGAAGTTCAGTGGGATCACAAAGTATGCCCCAGGGCCTTGGAGTTTTGACTCAACCCTCAATGCCTTTCTTACCACCTCCCTGCTTCCCTGGGCCACTTCTCTAGGCCACTTGCTCCCCCATCCCTAGCCAGGGACTGCTGCCTCCTCCATCCAATGTGGTTCTGGGATGGGAGGGCTGTCAGGGTCTGGATGACAGAAGGGTCAAGGTCAGGTACATGCACCTGGGTGCCAAGTCAAAGGGTAGGCCCTGGGTCCCTATGAGGATCCACACCCACCCTATTAGTATCCTTGTGTCCAAGGGAGAATGGCCTTAAACAGCAAATTTTAAAAATGAAAACAACCAAACCACAACCACAACAACAATAACCACATGACCGGTCAAGAGAGAGATTGCAGAAGAAAGGCAATAGCGTTTTTCCTGCTCTTTGAACAAGAGAATCCACATTTTCATTTTTCATTAGGCCCCACAAATGAGGCAGCCAGCCCTGAGTGGACCTGAGGCTGGACCGTTTGGACAATTGGATTGGAAACAGGCTGTAAGGGACGAACTGCTGTGGAGTTCAGTCTTTACTTTCTAGAGCAAGGCTGGCAAGATTTTCCTGTAAAGGGCCAGATGGTAACTATTTTAGGCTTTGTAGACCATATGGTCTCTGTTGCAACTACTCAAAGCTGCTGGCAAAAGCAGCCATAGACAATACATAAATCAACGGGAGGTCTGTGTTCCAATAAAACTTTATTTACAAAAACAAACAGTGGGCCAAATTTGACACTCAGGCTGTAGTTCGCCCTTCCCTGTTGTAGACAAGGACACGCCATTGAAGGCATCTGAGCAACAAAAGGGGCAATCAGAGGAGCTTCTAGAAAGTTATCTTGACCTCACTGTTCAGGATGGATTTGGAGGGGTCAGCCCACGGACAGGATCTCCAGGAAAGAGACTACTGTAAACCTCCAAGCAGAGGGGCCAGTGGCCAAGGCTCTGCAGTGGACAGCAGGGGCTGAAAGAGTGAAACCAGGTAGCACAAAAGCCTCAGAAGGGTGCTAACCATAAGATCACTAACCCAACTTGAACTTTCTTTCCGTCCAGAGGAGAGAAAGAGCAAGCGGAGGGTCCGAACCACCTTCACTACCGAGCAGCTGCATGAGCTGGAGAAGATCTTTCACTTCACCCACTACCCAGACGTCCACATCCGCAACCAGCTGGCAGCCAGGATCAACCTTCCAGAAGCTCGGGTGCAGGTACAGTCGTCCCCATCCTCAGCCCCCAACCTCAATGCCTTTGGGGCCATGGGTGAGACCCCATGTATCATGGACCCTCCAGGGCTGGCCCATCTGAAATTCTCCATTGCCCTTATCCCTTGAATACGGTCACATTTGCCAAATATTATTTCCAGGAAATGAGGTCACCACAGTTACAAGATGGTCTCTCTCTCTGGGGGGGGGGGGGGGGGGGGGGGGAAAGGGGGCGAGGTGGCATCAGCGATGGCCACTGGTATCTGCTTCCGCACCTTCCCTCTCTCCACGTGGCTGTAGTTCCAGAACATCACTCACCATGCGGCCACATTCCTAAAATAGGTCTTGGCAATCCAGACCTGTGGTCATCAAACTTTTTCCGCAGAAGGCCAGATGGCGACTATGTTGGGCTCCATGGGGCCATAGAGTCACTGTCTAAAACTTCGTTGATGAACGCCACAATCTGAATTTTGTATAATCCGCATGGTGTCACAAACACGATTCTTCTTTTTATCTTTTTTCCCAACAACTTAAGAACGTGAAAGCCATTCTTAGCTCACAGGCATGCAAAAACAGGTAGGAAGGCCATACTGATCCTTCAGGCCTTAGTTTGCCAACCCTTGACTAGACCAATTGGGTATCACGTTGAAGGCAGCACAGAGAAGTGGCCCAAGACCTGGTTTAAGTATCAACTGCCTAGGGGCAGCCGGGCGGCTCAGTCAGTTAAGTGTCCCGACTACTGGTCTCAGCTCAGCTCATGATTTCATGGTTTGTGAGTTCGAGCCCTGCCTCGAATCCTGCTTGGGATTCTCTCTCTCTCTCTCTCTCTCTCCCTTTCTCTGGCCCTCCCCTGCTTGTACTTTCTCTCTCTCAAAATAAACAAATACACTTATAAAAAAATTTTTTAAATAAATACCAACTGCCTAATCTAGAATCTGTCCTTTGCTCACCTTGGAGTATCTGTGGCTTCTTCTGCGGTTAGAGCCATAGTAGCCCCTTGCCACTCACCAGGGCTGTGTCTCCCCTCTTTGACACCCCCAGTTTTGCAAGTGTCACTCTAGCAAATCCAAATCCAATTGTTGCACTGCCGGCTTGCTCTACGCTGTGTCACTTTTTTTTTTTTTTAATGGATTTGTTCCAAATTCAAAATCTGAGTCAGGGCCCCAGTCAACATTTTTCTCTCAATTTTATCCCAGCCTACTTATCTCCTGGCTAGGGACCACCCCCGTTTTAGACTTCTCCCTTTTTCGACCCATTTAGAATTAGTCATCAGCTAAGTGGATATAGCGCGCCCCCCACCCCCGCATCTGCCCTAAAGCCCGGAATTCAGGGGCTGCCTCGGCAGAAGGGCCAAGTGCAAATGCCGGGGTGTCCGGGACAGTCAGTGTCCTCGTGAATATGGAGAGCAGACAACAGTCCATCTACTGACACCGAGGGGCCCACGGGGGGGTGCAAGCTGATGGTCGGCGAGCAGGAAGGAGCCCACAGATGAGTTTTATTTGATCTGCATCGTGTTTTACGTCTCAGCGCTTTCACCTAAAAATCGAGATTTCCGCCTTAAATATTGGCTGGGCCTGCACTGCCAGCCTCGCACGTCTACCTGGTGACCATTGGCTGAAGCGGAACGCTCACCACAGATCCCACCGCTCCCAGTCACCCGGCATCCGGCTGCTCCCCGGCTCCAGAGGGCAGACCCCCAGAGCCAAGGAAATCCTGATGCCACGGAGCTTTCTAGACTGTGAGGTGCCAGTTACGGTTTTTAGGGAAGGAGCTTGTTGCTTATCTCCGTCCCCCCTCTCCTATCCCAGATCTGGTTCCAGAACCAGCGCGCTAAGTGGCGGAAGCAGAAGACGGGCAGCCCTGGGGCCCGGCAGCAGCCGAGTGAGGCCGGTTCGACCCTGACCACGCACTTGGACGTGGCTGTGAGTGGCTGTGGCGTCCGGGGGTGGGGGTGGGGGTGGGGTGCTGGGAGGCACTATCTGCAAACTATCTGCAAACACCCCACCCAGACCCAGAAGTGAGGAACCCCGAGGGTGGGGGAGGGGTCTACAGTATAGAGGGCAAAGTGGGAGTGGCGCCTGGGTGGCTCATTTGTTAAGCATCTGACTTCGGCTCAGGCCATGATCTCGCAGTCGGTGAATTCGAGACCCGCGTCGGGCTCTGTGCTGACAGCTCAGAACCTGGAGCCTCCTTCAGATTCTCCCTCTCTCTCTGCCCTTCCCCCGCTCATGCTCTGTCTCTCAAAAATAAATATTTTTTAAAATTTTTTTTAAAGAGTGCAAAGGGAACTCGTCCAGAGACAGCATGGCCAAGAATGCTCCAGATATCTATGTGACCTGGGACAAGTCACTGCCCCCTCTGTCCCCATGTCCTCATCCAGGGAGTGACAATCCCGTGCCTCTCCCTCCTCTGGGGACTGGCTTGTATTGTTGTGCAGAACTCCAGGGCTCAAGGAACAGGCAGGGAGTAAGGGGGCAGTGCACCGAGATGGAGCAGGTAGGCTCTGGAGTCAGACTGCCCGGGGTTCGAATCTCCGCCTCCGCACCTAGCAAGCAATGTGGCCTGGAAGAGTCACTTCGCCCTTCGGAGAAAGTAGTAGTTCAATGGAGGTGAAATTACTGGGCCGTGAAGAGGCTTGACACTAGGCCGTGGGCCCTGAGTATGAGCTGTCCATGGGGTCCGTGGGTACCAGATGCCGGACAGCAGGGCACAAGCAGGACACGAAGTAGACAGTCCTGTGGTCAGAGGTCTGTGCGTGCCCGTGTCACTGCGAGGTAGGATTTCTTTATTTACCCATTTTTTGCTAGTGCAGAAACCGGGCACTGAGAAGCAAAGTGACTTTTTCACATCAAGTGATTCCTCTGCACATTTCTCCCTCAAGATGGTCCCCTACCCGCCCTGAGCGCCCCAAGTCCTGGGGGAAAGGTCGGGAAGTGGAGGGTGAAGCCCTGGGTGAAACTTAGGACTCACTTGTCTCTCCTGACCTTCCCCTTTCCGACAGGGCCCCGGGCGGTTGCCCTCTGCTCTGTCCGGGCTGGCTCCTCCCGTGAGAGGTTATCCACCAGCTCAAGGTCAGCCGGCCTCTGCGTGGCTCCCTGGCCAGATCGCCCTCCTCCCGTGCCACCTGTGGGAGACACACCCTCTCCCGGGCCCTGTCACCCAGCACACCTGCCTCCCTGCACTGTGCTTCCTCCCGCCTGCGAACCCCAAATGGGGAAGCCTCTGTGCTACCTTGACATAGGGACCGAGGAACCTCTCGCCAGTGGCGCTGCTTTCCTCTCCAGGGGAGGACGTCTCCCTGGCAGGAGGGTGCCCAGGCCTCTGGGGGAAGCCTCCCTGAGCACGCTCCGTGAGAGGCTGCATCAGACTCAGCGACGAGGTGAGCAGTATAGGAGCCCTTGCCTCGGCTTCCAAGATTGCCCTCCTGGCTCAGAAGACGGAGGCTGTGGGACACCCCAAGATGAGCTCTGGACCAAAGAGGGTGTCTGCTTATGCTTGTGTTTCCTCTAACTCACTGTGTGACTTCCAGTTGGTTACTCACCCTCTCTGGACCTCACCTATAACACGAGGCAGTTGGACAAGATGACTTTCGAGGGCCCTTCTGGCTCTTCTTTTGGTGAGGTGAACCATCGTGAGAACAGAGGCATACAGGAGGCCAAGGGGGAGGCGTTTATTCATTCATTCATGACACATTTATTGAGCACCTACTGAGTTCTCCACAAACGGAACTGGATCTATCTAGACCCAAACAACTGAGGCTCCGCCCTCAGGGAGCTCAGTCCAGGTTGGCCAAAGAGACTGTGCTCAGTGGGCTTCCCCCCAGCAAGCAGGATATGCGCTCTGTGACCTTGCAGTTGGCCCAGGCCCGGCAAATTCTGTGCGGCTTTGATGTGAATGTACAAAGTGGGAAAGAAATACGGGGAAAGGGTTTTGTTTTGTTTTGTTTTTTAATTTAAAACAGAATGGAGTGTCTTTGCTTATTCTGCTGGACTGAGGAGGGATGTTGTATTTCCGGTCTGAATAAAGAGTACAGCAGTAAGCTCCTTGCAGAGTGTACGTCCCAGAACCAGCATAAGGGGCCCAGCTGGAAGGCCAGCCTCGCTCCATGGTGACGAGACTGAGGACCCTGCTATCTCCCCGCAGGGAGACCTTGGGCAAATCACGCGCCCTTCGGAGCCTCAGTTTTCACATCTCTAAAACGGAGACAGTGAGCCCCACCTGGCCTGCCTCGAAGAGCAATCAGGAGGCTCTGAAATAAAGCAAGTGCCTTTCCAAGTGTGAGGGCTGGGCCCCCTGCGGATGACGGTGCTGCTCCCTGACCCCACCAGGAAAAGGGCTGCTTGGGTCTCAGACCTGGAATACGCCACTCTGACTCTCATGGAGGCCTGGGGCTTAGTCCTGCATTGCCTCTGATTTGCTGCAGAACCTTGCATCATCCAGTCCCTCTGGGCCTCAGCTTTCTCACCTGTAAATTGGGGGCAGAGACCTAGCTCAGCCCGCAGGCATACAACACTCTAGAATCAGACCACTGCCCACCGAAAAGTGAGCACGCTTTGTAAACTTACACGTGGCTGGAGACCATGAATGTCATCACTGACACCTAGTCTCCAGCAAGCTCTAGATGAAAGGAGAAGGCTAAGGGGGGGGGGGAGCAAAAGAATCATTAGCAGAAGGCGGGGCTGGGCACAAGTTCATACAAACACCAGCTTCCACTGGGTACAGTCTCCACTCGCCTAGCCTCAGGGGTGCCCTCCCCTCCCTGGCCAGGTACCACCTTATTCCATATCCTCCTGGGGGTCACTCTACATCCTCTGTTGCAGACCCCCTCAAGTTGCGAATGCCCCCTCTGTCTCTCTCTAGCCTGCAAGCCACCTCTCATGAGCTGGAGCTAAAAGCTGACTGCTCCTCTCCTCCACCCCTCCAAGGTCCTAGAAGCCCTAGGCTAGGCAGGGGGCTCTCCTTCTAGACCTTTTGCAGCCATTTCTCACATCCTGGCAACATGAGGGTCACAGACCCGATGGCAGATGCCCAGCTTCCAGGTGGAATGGAGAAGGCACAGGTCCACCCTGCTCTGGGCTCCTCATGTAAGCTTGGGTTCCCCAAAGAAACAAAACTGTGTGTACTTTTTTTCCTTATTGTAAGGAATTGGCCCTCACAATTAGGGAGGTTGAGAAGCCCCGTGACCTGCAAGGAGCAAGCCAGAGACCCAGGAGAACAGACAGCATGGGCTCCGATCTGAGTCCGAAGACAAAAGGAGACCAAAGTCCCATCTCAGAGCCAGACAGAGAACCAGTTCTCTGTTCCTCCACCTTTCTGTTCCACGCAGGCCTCACATTCACCCACACTGGGTAGAGCAATGGCTTTGCTCAGTCTACCGTTCAGATGTTAACCAGAATCACCTCTCAGAAGCATCCATAATAAGGTTCAGCCAAATACCTGGCCATCCCGGGGTCCCAGTCAAGTTAACATAAACTTAACCACCACAATCTCCATCCCCTTTCCCATCACATAACCTCCTTCCCCCAGAAGCTTCGAGAAGGTCAACCATAAGAGCCTCAAGCTACCAGAACGTCTCAGGTCAGCACTGATTTAAAGTTAAAGTGGGGGGGGTGACTTTTTCTCCCTAGGGATTTATGTTTTCCCCCCAAGAACTATTTTATTTCCTTCCCTTATATCTGCGGTGCACAGGAATCATTTTAGAACCCCTACCAGCTGTGTGTCCCTGGGCAAGTAACATGTCCCCTTCGTAGCAACAGTTTCTGGACTCTTGGAGTTTCTGTGACAATTAAATGAGTTAGTACAGTTTGACACACGGCAAGCACGCAGCAAGGGTCGACAAAAAAGCCTTTTTCCCAACTCTTCTTCTACCTCTTTCTACTTGTGATCTGGAGCGGCTATTCTGACCCCAGACTCTGTCCTCGGAGTTCTTAAACCAGGGTCCCAGAGGCCAAGGAGCTCTCAAAAGAGCATGTGAAATTGTGTGTGTCTGCCTGTGTGTTTATTTTTCCCAGGCAGAGGATCCATTGCTTTCATCAGCTTTCAAAGAGCGCTGTGCAGCTAAAAATAATAATAGTAAAGAACCCCCCTGTCAAACATCCTTGAGTCAGACTCCAACAGGTTCCTAGTCAAGCTGTGTGGACTAGAAACTTGAGAAAAGTTGGACGAGAACATTTTTTTCCCTCTAATCTTTATTCATTTTTGGGAGACAGAGACTGAGCGTGAGGGAGGGAAGGACAGAGAGAGAGGGAGACCCAGAATCTTAAACAGGCTCCAGGCTCCCCACAGAGACAGATGTGGGGTTTGAATCCACTAACTGTGAGATCATGACCTGAGCTAAAGTCGGCCACTTAACCAACTGAGCCACCCAGGCGCCCTGGGGACAATAACGTTTTTAAGGTCAAATCATGCAAATAGAAAATGGACAAGTGCCAAAAAATAAAAATTAAAGTAAAATAAAATGAACAACTGTCAAAGTTTATTTAATTCACTGATGAGGGAGCCAGCAAGACGCCATAGCATCTCCAGGGAAAACTAAAAGAACAGACAAATTACAGAGATGATTAGGAAGGCTGAAATGAATGACAAATCAAGACAGAAAGCGTCCATCGCCATCAGGACATAATCAATTGCATCTCCGCCAGACACAATTCATATGCCTTTCTATGGACAAGGAGCATTTGCGTTATTATCAGATTTGTACAGTTTAAAGAGTTGAAAAGGAACTCAAACACAAGGGAAGTTGCAGATCCCCTGGTGAGTGTGCTGGACAGAAGATCTCGTGATCTTTTCATGCCTGTTTCAAAGTATTGTGAGATTTTCCCCCCACCTAACGGTACTGAATCTCTGAATCTCACCTTCCTCATCCATTAAATCAATGGGATAAGACCCGCCTCAGAAGATAGCAGAGGGGTTATGTTAGAGGGTGTTTGTGAAGTGTTTTGTAATCGTCAAACACTTTATGAATGTAGGAAATTATTTTTCATTGCTTTGCAAACTCATCTGGAATTCAGGTTTAAAAGTCTATATCTAGAACTGTTTAGAAATATGGTAACATTTCTTTAACATCCATTGACCTTTTATAGTTCAGTTTTTAAGAAGGTTAAACAAGCCGTGGAAAATGAGCAAAGGGCAGAAATAAGAGATTCATAAAAAAAACATACAAATGGATACTAAACATATAAGAATATGCTCAGCCTTATCCATAATTTAAAATGCAAATAAAACAGTAATGAAATACATTTTCTTTTCCTTTCAGATTGGCAAACATTTAGTGTTGGTAAGGGGCTGATATGTATACTCGCGCCCACACGTAAGGAAGTACGAATTAGTAACTCATTTGGGAAGATAGCTTGACAAATATTAATATTCTAAATGCAAAGCACTTGGACCCATAATTGTATTTGCAAGAACTTATCTGATAAATACACATGTGTATAAATACCGTATATAGGCATGTTCGCCAGGGCTTTGAGACCGCAAAAAACAGAAGCCACCTACGTAGGATACTGGCTGAGCTGATTACAGTGTATTCATCCAGCTATTAAAAAAATGAGAGAGATTGAAATGCACCTCAAAGGAAATTGCCATTAGTCACATCATTAAGTAGAAAAGGCAGGCTGCTGAAGGAAGTCATGATCCCTTTGATTAAGAAAAGGATAACGATGGCCTTATATATAAAAACATCACTGAGATGCTGATCATTTCTGCACACGTTAGCTTTCGCTCCATAATGAATCACTCCAAAAGTTGGTTGCTTGAAACAATCATTTCTTTGGCTCCTGACTCTGGCTCAGCCAGGTTCGTCATCTGGTCTAGGCTGACCAGGCCATCTCAGCCGGGCTTGCATGCATGCCTGGGGTCAGCTGGCCGGTGGGACGGCCTTACTCGCAGACAGGTCTGGGTCTGACAGGCTGTCAGCTGGGTGACCGGGCCACGTGTCCCTCACTGGGCTACCGCGTAGAGCAGTCACAGGGTCCAAGGGCTCTTGAGGTTTGGGCTCAGAATGCACAGGTCACTTCTGCTGCATTCTAACCGTCAGAGCTGATCACAAGACCAGCCCAGATTCGGGGGTGGAAAGCAGACTCCTCTTGTCAGGGAAGAGCTGCAAAGTGTGTCTACACTCTACCATGTCTACACTCTCCCATAACCCTCTGATGGAGAGCTCATCAGACTTCTGTCCTGAATTCTCTGGGCACCTCCACCCAAACATGTAATAGAGATCTTGACCCTAACTTGTCTAAA